ACAACAGTGAGGCCTCTCAATAAATCAACTATAAAGGCTCAATTTTATGACTATTAATTACGTTAAATTGAGAGGAACGAGAGGGAAAAGCTTGAATTTTATTAAGCAATTTACTCCCTATTTATAGATCTATACAAGGTGTAGCAATAAGGAAACAAATAACTCTAATAATAACATGAATACAATTATTCCTAAATCAATGGGAGGAATTAATGCAATCCATGTAGTCTTCCCACGGATTACTGTTCATAGCCGTGGATATCTTTGGGATCGTAAGGTTGAGATTTAACAAATTATAATTTAATTTCTTTGTTATTCGAATTTGAGTGGCCAACTTTGTGAATTCAGAGGGAATATTTGGAATGTAAGAAACTTGTTTAAGTTGGTCATAATAACGTTGATAATGTTATGATAAATGTGTCCTAAAATTAGGAAGAATATATTAAAAAAATGCTTATATTAGAAGAATGCGTTGAGCGATATCTATTAAAGGTAAGTTAATTGAGATAAATTTAGGTGGCTTGAACATGTGTGATAAAAGGTAGAAATATGATTATTAGACAAGTTGATAAAATTAGTATTAGAAGATTATGAATGAGAAGGGTTAGATTTATGATAATACATGTCGAAGGTATTCAAAATGGTTTATGAAAAATAAGCATAGAACTCTTGACAAGACTTAATAAAAATGATGCATTAAAAGCTTATACCACATTCAGCATATCTACATATTTGTCGCACACTCTATATAATGGAAAATTTGAATCTTTGACTGCTCTAAACGCAAAACCCTGCTGTTGTTTCAGGCCTCTTATTGACAGCGGTAAGAATCCTCAAAAATATGTTAGATATACTCCAGAAGACCTGGAGCGAATGCTTGGGGAATTCTTTGAAGGAAAGACTTGGAATGAGCAGAAGCGTTGATAGCTGATTCCTGTTTGGCTAAGGGTTTGTTTGGGACGGCTTTCTCTCTGCTTCTTAAAGTAACTTTCTAGTAGAAAAATATTAATTTTGATACTAAAAAGCTGCTTTAAGAAGAAGTAAGAAAGCCGTCTCAAACGAAGCCTAAATGTTCAGATTATTTAGTTGGAAAAAGCTATGATGAGTCTGAGAGCATGTAGTGTTCTAGGCTGGCAAAACTTCTCTAGTTTCCTTTTATTGTAAAATTTATTTATTCTTTTCCATTCCCCCAGTTTAGTTCCTGGTCTGATTTGAAAGAAGAGTTGATTCCTATTATTGTTAAGATTGTCACATTATTTTGATCTTGTTTTAGGGCAGTTTATTTTGGAATACTCCTGAAGTAAAATAAATGTATGAATTTTGGGTTTCCAGGTGTTTTGTATGAACTTAGATACTTGAAAAGCTTATTTTTAATGAACTTTGAATTTGCCCAAATACATGTGAATTGCCCTTCTCCCTTGCTACTATTGCTCTTGTCAACCACCAAGTATAAACGAGTATTTGTCTAATTAAGTTAAGTTTGTTAAATTCTTACTCGGCGGCCCATTTGAAAATCATTAGGCTTGAGCTAGGCTCGTTTATTTGAGATTATTTGGAAAATTCAAGCTTTGACTTGAGAAGCTTGTGAGGCAAGTCAGATTGAGCTTGAGCTCGAGCTCATTCTTAGATAACATACGAGCTTGAGTATAGGCTCAAGTTTAAATTCGATTAATAAACTTATCTCGTGAGTTCGTTAATTAGTTAGATTGAAGTTGGCTCGTAAGTTGACATGACTCAATTACACCTCTAGGCTCTAGCCTTAATCTTCAATTGTCTTGCCCCCTTGCCCGAGGGAACTTTCATATCATTAGTTATGTTTAAATCAAAGAGTTTTGAATAAAAATTTATCTGATATTATTTTTTTTTTAATTGAATCATTCTAAAGTTTTGTTTGGGACAGTATTCTTACTGTTTTTTTTTTTAAATAGCTTTTTATTATAAAAACTTAGTTCAAAAAATTTTTGTGCTAAAAAACTGATTTAAAAAGTAACAATAAAGCCATCTCAAACAAAGTTTAAGGCTTCGTTTGAAACGATTTTTTTATTGCTTCTTAAAATAGAATTTTAGTACAATTTTTTAAAATTTTATACTAAAATTATGTTTTAAAAAGCAATAAAAAACTCGTCCCAAACAAGCCTAAGTTTTCTTAAAATTCGTGTTATATTGGAAATTAAGACTGGCATCTCAATAATTATTACATAAATGATAAAGCTCACCTAACTTAATGCGTCAAATATGTTGTTAAGAGGTACTTATCCGTCAAATAACTGCTAATTTATCTATTTGAAGCATTCAACACGACATTGCAGTTCTCCGCGTCAAGTTTTAATAACAAGATTGAAAAAATAAAAATAAAAATCATTATAATAAATTGCCAAATCTTCTTTATTAACAAAAAATGTTATCAAGTACTTAGGTAGCCCGCAGTTATCCAAATAATAAAAAAGTAATAGTATTATATATAATAAAAAAACTCTCCGCCTTACACTCTTTTTAATGAAACAAATTAAGAAATTTGATAATGATGTTCATATTTAATTTCTTAAATAAAATAAAATCCTCACAAATTTTGGAATTGAGTAACTTAATCAAAATGTAAAATAATCTAATATTGTTATGGGCTGGAGTATTTGAGGTGGTAGAGTGAGTGGATTTTTCGTTCCAACGATGCATGTATATCTAGCACATAAATAGATAGTTAAAGAGAGCTGAAAAACACTAGAAATTTTTTACGTGGAAAACCCGAAGAGGGAAAAATCACCGGCCTTGCCTAGGTGAAGATATTTAACTTAATTTGAATGAATTACAGAGGTTGACCCGTTCCTTGACTTAGAGGAGACAAATTTACAAAAGTTTGTAGAGTTGGGCGGATGTTTGACAGCAGATTGGCAGTGGTTCAGGGTGGTTGGTGGGAGGGTGGCGGTCCGATGATGGTCAAGTGGAAGTCTGATGGTGGTGGGTAGTCGATCGTTGGTCCGACGATGGTTGGGCAGAAGTCCTGAAGTCGTCTACTGACCAGGTATTGGATCGATGAAAGTCCAATGGCGGTGGTGCTTGAGTGGAACTCTTGAAGCCTTAGAGTTCTCTCCAATTTTCAGCAAAAGGCCCCCGTCATATAGGGGAAATTGTTAGGTTCGAACACTGGACGCCATTCAGAGCCCAATGAAAATGTGCCACATCATCCCCTACATGTACTGAGTAGTACCGAGCTCGGTACTGTTCAATACCGAGCTCAGTACTGTTTAGTACCGAACTCAGTATCGAGCTCGGTATTGCTCGGTACTGGATAAGTCTCCGAATGGTAAGTTGTGTCCAGTGTCCGAACCCAATAATTTCCCCTCATATAGAGAGTGGGTGTCTATTTATAAATTTTTGTGAGTTATATTCACCCCAAATATGAAGAAGATCCAGGGCAGGTTCGGAGTGCTCCATCAGGCGACCTGTACTGATTCTCCGATCATAGAATATTTTTCATGCATTTATGTGCCTTAATGATGTTAGAATTAAGCAATCTTGGGCTTGTTGGATTTATCTCATCGAGCCGCTCTATTCCACTATAAGCCTGTCATATTTAGAGATCATTCGATCATCAAATTAGTGCTTTAAACCTTTCAAATACAATTCAGTATATGAATTTGGACCCATTTGGTATTGTTGTGTTTTTCTCCTTGAGATGTTCAACTTGATTATAAATTTGTCAAAATCAGTGTTTGGATGGTTCCAAATCTAATTTTGAAAGTTTTCAAATTGGATGCCTCAAGATTTTTGTCTGGTCAAGACACTTTTTGATGACGTATCAAATATAAATTTTAATTAATTACTCATATTTATTATATTAACTTAAACTAAACTCACCAACTTCCAAAATTTTATTTATATTTTCGACGGTGAGCATAACATTTGTAGAAAAATCAATAATAGGGCTGCAAACGAACCGAGCCGAGTTGAGTATGTGAGTGTTCATGTTTGTATTAATTTATTATCAACTTATTCAAGTTTGGTTCATGTTTGATTCGAGCTTTATTGCTTGTGTTCATGTTTGGTTCGTTTAAATTAATGAGTGTTCATGTTTGGTTCATGATAGGTTCATGTTCAGTTCGTTTAGTTCTTATCAAGCTTTAAACAAACAAGCCTTAAAGAACTATAAACGAGCTTTATTTCTAGATATTCATTAACTTAACAAAAGAGCTTTATCGAGCCTCATAACAAATAATTAGATCATGCATGTTCGCGAATATATTTAGTGAATTTTTTAAAATATCAAACAAGCACGTTCATGAACATATTTAACGAGTATTCTTGAGCTATTAAATGAGCAAGTTCACTAACATATATAACTAGTTTTTTTGAGCTACCTAATGAGCTCGTTCACGAACAAGTGATTTATGATTCATCTTCATGAATATTTTAAACAAACAATCAATCAAACATGAACAAATATGAAATGTCTATTGTACATGAATCGAACACGAATCGAGCTTTTATCCAGCCTAATGTCAATGTTCATGAGCTTTAAATGATGTTGTTCACGAATATAAATGAGCCGAACACATTAGTGTTCAAACTTGTTTATTTAATGATCGAGTATTTAAAATAGTGTTCAAGTTTGTTTGTTTAGTTAATTAAACGATAACAAACGAATTTTAATCGAATCGAATAACGAGTAGCTCGTCGAACGTTTGGTTCGCTTACATCCCTAATCAATAACATAATGTCAAAAAATGATTCATGTAATGTAATGTCCCAAATAATAGTGAGATAAAAACTTGACCTATACTTATATTTTATTTACCTCAAATTATTTTCAAAAGTTCCAAATATCTAAACCTAATTTTCCTCCCACCACCACCAAATTCGGTTACTGATTTCGTAACCGCGTCGCTCTGCCCTTTTTCAACATCCTCATGCGTAAGCGGTAACTCCACCCCCTGTCTTTGCTACGAAACTTCCACCCCCACGTTCTCACCCCCACTCTTCACGATATAAACTCCGCCATAACCAATCTCCCTTTTCACAAAAAAACTCCAAAGCTCTCTCTTTCTCTCCATCTCAAATGGCTTCCAACGCCAAATCCTCCGGCGGGCTCAACGGCTCCTACTACGGCCCGGCGATCCCACCCGCTCGAACCTACCGGAGCGTCGGCGGCCGCTCCTCCGACTGCTGCTGCAACCCCTGCAGCTGCCTCATCTGCACTCTGCTCAAATTCATCTTCGCCGTCGTCATCACTCTCGGCATCATCTTCCTCATCATATGGCTGATCTTCCGCCCCAACGAACTCAAAGTCTTCGTAGAAGACGCCAATCTCACCACTTTCAATCTCAACAACTCCTCCACTCTAAACTACAACCTCTCCCTCGCCATCAGCATCCGCAACCCCAATCGCCGAATCTCCATCTACTACGACCAAATCGAAGCCATAGCGCTCTACGATGGCAATCGCTTCGGCTACGATGGCTCGCTCCCGGTCTTCTTTCAGGGCCACAAGAACACCACCGTGATTTCTCCGAGATTTGCAGGGCAGGCGGTGTCTCTCGGAGCGGTGAACGGGACTTATGCGAGAGAGAAGGGAGAGGGGAATTTCTATTTCGATGTGAAATTGAACGCGAGGATTAGGCTGAAGGTTAAGTTTGTGAAGGTGGGGCATTTTAAGCCTAAGTTTGACTGCAAGGTGAAGCTCCCCGTGCCGCCGGTGAAGGGCGGATTGCCGGCGGCGAGTTTTGAGAGGACCGAGTGTGATGTTGACTGGATCTAATAGGGGCGTTATCGATTTCGTGTTGTAGCAGTCATTGTTTATTATTAGTTATGATTTGATTTTTCTTATCGTCTTCTTTAATTTTTTGGTTGAGATGTCGAGATTTGGGGCCCTTCTGTAGCTGTACATTAAATTATTAATGGAAAAGTTATTGTTTTGTTTATTTGTTTTCTGCTACTACTAGCCGTTACGTTGACGACCGTTTTAAAATTGGAGCAACGGGCCTTGACCGTTATCATGTAAAATTTACGTGCCGGATAACATGATGAAAATTTCAGACATTTTTTTAATTTTAGATGCTTTTGCAACGGCTAGTTGATTTTAGCCATTTGGAAATTTAAATTTGGCCATTTGGGATGTTGATTTTGAGCTGTTAATTGGACTCTTAAGTTATTCTATATATGCAATTATATTTATAGCCTAAGAGATTGTTGATTCTACTCATATTTTCGGGTTAAAAAGGAAGTTTTTTTTTTAAACATTAATAATATATCTTCTTACAGGCGAATCAAATAAATGTTCAATGTTTAAATTTTGTTATGATTTGTTTTATTGTGATGGTTTTCTTATGACTTACAAAAATTTCTTGTTATTTGATTACTTATATTTTATTATATCACAATTATGTTTTTTTTTTTAAAGAGATTGTGTAAGTCATAGTTATAGATAATAGCCAATAAGTCATATCTAAAGCTCAATAATTTTTTTTGCTATGACTATATTTTAAGAAGAGTGTTGTCTCATTATCTAGTAGATTGCATCGGGTGTGATTGATTCCTCGCTTTGGAGCAGAATCAATAACTATTGGAGGGTGTTAGGAGTAGTGAACATCTCATTCTGAGTAGAAGCTCTATTTCCAATTAAGAAGAGAAGGTGGTGTAAGAAATTTTCTAGAGTTACTTGTAAAGTTTTAAGTGTTATTTCACATAAAATTCATCCTCCTCTTATGGTGTCTCTTTGACTTATATTACCATTTATGTGAATCCATTTAATCATATTGTCATGATAATATGAATGAGCCTACTGGATTCTTATAACTATGTTTGAGATCCTTAAATGCACCATGTGAAGGTGAAAACATAAAATACAAAAGATAAAATGAACATGATATTTCTACGTAATGAAATGCATGATGCGATAAATATAATACATGATCAATTGGGTGTGTATAATAACCCTAATCATCATGAGCTCAAGTCAATGGTCCTTATGTAGTTTAGGATGATGATCTACATAATTTGGCTTGATGGCTCCCTACCCTAGTATAGTAGTATAACTAGCATATCACTTGAGCATATAAGATAGAATGATGATTCATGAGGTTATATGGAGTCTTTGTTCTTGTGCATAATATTTTAAGGCTTAGAGCTTCCTAATGAGATGAAAATGGATGGTTGTGATTCAATAACTATTAGTTGAATAACACTATGAAAATAATAAGCACTTTTTAACACCATCTTAGGTTTCATTTGGGACGACTTTCTTCTTGCTTCTTAAAACAGCTTTTTAGTACAAAAATTAAATCTATGTACTAAAAGCTACTTCAAGAAGCAAGAAGAAAGCTGTCCCAAAGAAGCCCTAATTTGCTTAAAATTTATTTAAATAATAATAACCATAAATTTTAAAACTTTGCCATGAAATATATTTTAATAGAACAACATGTTTCATGTGTGTACTTGTATATATAACATATAACATTAAAATTTAAGAAATGGTCACCAAGTGGTAACGTATGTTTAATAACAAAAGAGTTCGTATTATCACCCAGCCCACTGAAGCTCTTCTCAATTATGAAAAAAACAAGCCCATCAAAGGCCTTACAGAAAGATAAGATGTCTAAAAGTCCAAAAGTTTCTCAATTCCCAAGCCCATCAAAGCCTTTTCAACCTATGCAAGCATAGATGAAGCCCGCTAAGGCATTGGAAGTTTTATTTATTTAAATAGCTTAAATCTTTTTGCTTGTAATTTTTCCCCTTAAACGTCTCTCTCTTCAGTATTTCTCCCCGATATTTGTTTTGATATCATGCCAATGTGAATCCAAATATTTGTGAAGCAAAAAAATAAAAGGGGATTTTTTGACATGATATGAAAATTTTATTTAATTATTAAATTAATCATCAATTATCTTTTTTATAATGATGTTAACCAAATCTTGATGAGCAAATAAAATATCAACTTTTTTTCTTTTTCAATAAATAAGTATTAATGGTTTCATAATAGCACATGTCGATACTCTATTTATTTGATAATAAAATGTAAGAGTTTGAATTTTTATTTTGTTAATTAGAAAGATTTTGTTCACTTGAGTGTAAATCTCAAAAAAATATATATTTAATTTATATAAAGTTCATAAGGACAATTGAAAATGAACCGATCATCTTATAAAAATAGAGATGACACGACCTAAGGATAATTACACAGCGTCATAATAATGTCAATGAGAACATTAGAGATGCTTTGTGCAATTCTAACTTGGAAGCGGAGATGAAATGATTTGATGATCAGGCCATTGAAGGAGGCCAAAATAAGTCCTCTATTAGATGTAGAGTTGACTTAACCTAAAGGCATTGATAAGGTAATATTGCAAGGTTGAGGGGGCTTAACTTGAGAACTTTCATTAAAAAAAGAAGAAGAAATGTTGAGGGGGCCATTGGAGATGGCCAAATTGATTATCTCATGAGGGTAAATATGTACGTCCTGATCTAAAGGCAATAAAGAAAGATGTAAAACCTATTGAAGACGACTTTATTGGTCCTCCATATAGGCATCAAATTGGCTCAAGGTCGAAGACCTGAAGCGTCTTTGGAAAGTTTAAACCAAAAGTTGGATGGCCAAACGATTTTCAAACATGATATGCTTATAAACGAATCGAGCGGCTCGACGAGACAGATCCAACGAGCCCAAGATCGTTGAATTCTGATATCATTAAGACATTCAAATGTATACTAAACAATCCATTATCAAGGGAATCAATATGAGTCGTCCATTCAAACCACTTTCCACATACCTTTGATCTCCCTCCTATTTACTGGTCATTCCACACTAAAAAAATTATAAATAGATCCCTCATTCTTCATAGAAAGGGACTCAAGCAAGAAAGAGAAGAGCTCTCTTTCCACAACACTCCTCCTCGACCACCGCCCAACCATCAATCGTCATCGATGAAGCTTTGCCGACCATGCCAAACTTCCAACTGGCCACTGATCGTTGTCAGAATTCCATCTGACAGCGAATTACCCCTAGACTTTAACCCCGCTGCCAATTGACGTTGGACTTACATTCAACAACCTATCGACTTAGGAATTCCTATATGGACCTTTTTTATCGCTAGATTTCAATTTGATGACCAATTGTTGTAATATGACTGTGCTCAAGTTGAAGGACGATCATTGAATGTAATCCATTCAAATACTAGTGGATTAATTTCAACTGGGCGTGACCCCGCAGTTTTTCATATCAAGTTTTTTACACAAAAAATTCTGGTCTTTATTCTTTTTTGTGTGAACTGGCTAATAGTGCAACACTAAAACTTGAAGTTTTTCTTACTTTATCACTGCGAATACTCTAAACCACAACATTTTTAATTTTATGTTTCTTACAAGTTTCATAATTCATTAAAAATAAATAAATAAGAAAATTACAAAGAAAAGTTTTTAAATTATAAATTATATGATAAATCAAACAATAAGCGCAATTTTTTAGATAAATATTTATCATTTTCAAGTATAAATTTTAACAGCCAACGGCATTAATCAATTCCATCATTAATGGACTGAACATTAAAAAAATAATAATTATAAATAAATAAAATTAGCTTTTAAGGAAGTGATCATCATTTTTTGTTTAGATGGGTCATGGGATAATCAAGCAATCGAACGTTCAAAGATCGCAGCTTTTTCACGTCGGAGTTGTTCGCACGCTTAATCTTGCCCAACTATTCTTAATTATGTATTTCAAATCTAATAAATTTCTTACATATTCAGATCAATAAGCTGATATCATACAAATGGCTTACATGCTTTTCATTTATCATATCACTTGAATTCATCTTCCCGTCGCCCGTGCGATTCCGGCAGTGGAATTAGTTCAGAGCCAGTCGTCGCCGTCGATCCACCCGGAAGTTCTGCCGCCGGAGAGAAAACGTCATTCCAGACATCGGCGAATGCGCGAAGAATGATGTGATGGTGGCAAGAAGAGTTGAGGGAAAGGTATTGGTGGAGAAGCTCACAGAGATCCTCCCAACCGTACATCTCCTTCTCCATTATCATCACCAGCATCGATTCATAGAAGTCGAAATAAGGGTTCAACGACTCTTTCAGCACAGCCACGCTCTCCTCTACCACTCCTTTCCTCTTCTTGCTCTTTCTTCTCTTCACCGCGCGGCTCTTCTTTTCTCTCTTTCGGCCACTTGTCGCTTGCTTCGCTGGCGACGGCGATGTCGAGAAGGATGAAATGGTAGCGGCGGGGCTGTAAGTTGTGTCTGAGGGGCATGAGGAGCTAACCGATTTGGAGGTTCTATCTTTTAGGGAATATGAGGAGGAGGACGATGCAGAGAACAGACTAGAGAAAATTGACCGCCGGCAGCCACATCCGCCGTCTACCACAACTGGCTGCTGCACCATGAATCTTCTCGGGGGGGATGACATTAAAAGACCGTGATGAACCAAAGGAGGGATTTTGATGGTGGGAATGGAGAAAGATTTGATTTTTGAGAAGTAGAACTGGTAAATTACAAAAAGAAAGGCTTTTCTCTTTGGAGAAAGGGATGAAAGAGATCCGTTCGCTTGTTCTTATATGTTATTAAAGAAAAGAAGAAAGAGTTGGTTGGAGGTGGAGGTAAAGCGTCTTCAAATTCTCGTAGCTAGGTAGATGCATATGAGAGAGAGAGAGAGAGAGCGAGCTAAAAAAATGGACTTTTTTGCGTTCTGCTTTCTGATTCAAAATTCTGACTTGAAGCTAACATCATAATGAAAATTTAATCGTTCGTTCCTTTTATCTTAAAGAAAGGAATTAGAGAGAGAGAGGAATGGGAGGTTGAAAAGCTATGTTTTAATTGCTTCGTCCAGATCTTGTAGCCAACGGCTTGTAGATTAATTGCGCATGTGAACCTGTTCAGTGTATGAACTATTGACTTGATCGTGAAGTCTATCGTTTTCTTAATGAAATGCAACTGTGGAACTACAATCAATACACGTCTAAGTTGGAAGCAGCTGTACGTAGGATGGCTCACTTAGATTTTATTTGGAACAACTTTCGTACTGCTTTTTGAATCTGGTTTAATTTGAAAAGCAAGAAGAAAGCCGTCCCAAACGAAACCTCAGGCTTCGCTTGGACGACTTTTTTATTGTTTCTTGAAGCGACTTTTTTGCAAGGTTTTAACAAGCGAACTGGTTTAATTGTGGACTGGTTATATGACCTATTAGGTTAATCTTAACAGTCGTCTTTGCTTTAAATCAAAATAAACCAGTTAGAACAGCCAGTTCAACTTACAAAACGATGCTATACATACCAGCTGGTTTAATTGTTGTACTATTTAAATTATATTTTTTGCCTTCTTCTCTCTTTAGAATGCACTAATTAATGGGCTTATTTTATTTTGATTTAACCTAACTAAATTAAGTTAGATTAATTTTTTTAAGTATGATTAAAATTAAATTTTATGATGAAAAATTTTCATTGTTGAAAATTTTGAAATATTTTTAAAATAAAAATAAGCTGAGAAAACTATTTAGTTGCATTTTAGATTGTGTTTATTAACTTAACCGTGGGGTGCTGATTTACTATTAGGAATGATTTATTTTTAAAAAATATTATTTAAATCATAGAAAATTAAGGCTATCTAAAAAAACTTTAGTATATTATAGTTAATAAAGTTTTGAAGATAATTAGTAATTATACATAATTTAGGATTAATATTATAGGTAAATAGTGATTTTTTAATCATTTATTTGCTAATTATCATAACTAATTAGGAGTAATACAACTTTGATATTACAGATAAAAAAAACATAATTATTATCCTAGAGTTGATTTTTATAATTATATAATAATAAGTTATTAATATTTTTATTAAAACTGAAAGAAGGCCCTTAAACTTAGGCTTTATTTGGGACATGTAACTTATTGCTTTTTAAAATAGTTTTTTATAAAAGCTACTTTAAAAAGCAATAAAAAAGTCATCCCAAACGAAGCATTATGCTTGTATAAATAAAGTTGCATTGAGCTTATCTTGCTCTTAGGCCATGTGTAAAGTATCAAGCTTATTAACAATCAAGAAACTTTTAATTGCGATTCTACTGGGTCTTGAAACATAATGACCTCAACTTTATTTGATGAACATAAATTACTAGAATAAATTTAAACAAGTTTTTTTTTTCAAAATTACATTAAGGATCATCCAAATTTAAATTTCAACAAACTTGTAGTCGATCTGTACGTAACACATGAATCATATTTGAAAACTTTCGGGTATTGGTTGAAGGATAAAGTTAATGGTCTCCAATCACGAATCCAGTGAGCCCTAGGTTATATAATTATGAAATCATTAGGGCACTAAAATACTTGATAAATTCTATAACATCAAGGGAATCAATATGGATTGTCTGTTGAAATGTTTTGGATTCTAGCTATATTTATCAAAATGCAATAAATCAAATGCAAACTTTATATATAGCCTGTCCACAACTGTATATAAGAAAAAAAAAGTTTAAAACGGTTGTGGCCGACGTTACAAGGTCGTTTTTATTGGAAGTCCACCACTATATCTTGTGGTGCATGCATGGAGAAGTTTCTAGAACGTGATGAGATCAAGGCTCATGGGTCAACGTACACCTCGGCTTCACTCCATAAAATACATTGTGGAATTTTAAAGTTAATTCTTATTAAATTTTGATCATAACATCATCTTGAAATACTAGAGAAAATCAAACAATAATAATAATAAAAAAACACAAATAATAGAATTATTTGTATGACGTCGATAACAATAATTGATTTCTAGTTGGTCAACATCTATCAACTTTTAGAATCTTGTACATATCAAAGCACTTTTAAAGATGAAACCATTCAACATTTTAATTGAATATATTTAAACGAATATCAATCTTACTCGAAAGGCTATGATAATGTTTAATAAAGGTCTAATGTGTCACACTTAGACCATGGATGCCCAAATAGTTCAACCTACCTATTCAAATAGCGTTAAATTGTGTGATTCCAATCGAATCAATCTAACCCAGCCTAGCTAGAACACTATTTCCTTGACACGTATATGGGCTCTATATACACTCACGCATGAAGCCCTAGGTTATAACAAAATCAACGTTATCATATTTGATGCTAGTCGAGGATTAATCGAATCAACCCCTTGGTGTTCATCATGCCTTAAGAACACACAAGAGATCTAGTGTGCACTCCTTTTCAATTCATCCACCTGAGCATCCTCTTCTCTGCCACCATTAACTTAGTATTATGCTTCTCTTTTAAAGGCCAACATTCGGCACCATAAAGCATTGCAGGCCTCACTACCATCTTATAGAAAATCAAACAATAAAAAAAAAACACAAATAATAGAATTATTTATATGACGTCGATAACAATAATTGATTTCTAGTTGGTCAGCATCTATCAACTTTTAGAATCTTGCATATATCAGAGCACTTTTAAAGATGAAACCATTCAACATTTTAATTGAATATATTTAAAGAATATCAATCTTACTCGAAAGGCTATGATAATGTTTAATAAAGGTCTAATGTGTCACACTGAGTCCATGGATGCCCAAATAGTTCAAGCTACTATTCAAATAGCCTTAAATTGTGTGTTTCCAATCGAATCAATCTAACCCAGCCTAGCTAGAACACTATTTCCTTGACATGTACACGGGCTCTATATACACTCACACATGAAGCCCTAGGTTACAACAAAATCAACGTTATCATATTTGATGCTAGTCGAGGATTAATCGAATCAACCCCTTGGTGTTCATCATGCCTTAAGAACACACAAGAGATCTAGTGTGCACTCCTTTTCAATTCATCCATAAAGGAATGAACTTGTCCAAGCCATTTTAGTTATGATAATCCCTCAATTAAATAGATGTTAATTTTGAAAGTATCTCTTAACAAGAGAAGTTGATCTATGCAATTTTTCATAGAATTATTTCAATTGATTGGCACATTAAAATTTTGATCAATTATCATTATTGCACTCATGATGAAATCTTCCATGATATGATTTTTTTTTTTTTAAAATTGTTAATTCAATACATTTTTAGTTGTAGCTATCATCAAATATAAACATCAACTTGTTTCTTTATATTTGTTATAACTAGGAGGAGAGCGAGGGATGATAAAATTTTGCTTATGAAGAAAATACATCAAGATTTTAGGAATCTCAAATGATATTGAAGCGCAGTTCTATAAGGCAAAAGTTTTAAATCAAGCTTATATATGTTCATAAATAATTGTAAGCTCTAGAATTCATTTTTTTATTGGATACAAAGTAGTTAGGTCATACATGAATCATAACAAAATCACTAACAAAATGCTCGTGAATATTTTTGATATGGCTTACTGGCCTAGGGTTAGCACAGTGGATGATGGCTTTAATATGTTTGCAAATCTTTTTAAGAGTATTGGAAAAATGTAATTAGGCTCTAGAGAGGTTTTAGAATAAAATTATTTGAGGCTTAAGCAAGCTGGGGTCGACCAAGAATAAAACTAATAAAATACTGGAGTTTTTATTTATGCAAGTTTAGGAATTTTGTGAGGAGAAAATATCGAACCTCATGGCTAGAAAATTATTTTAAATGTTTAGAGCAATCTTGATTTTCTAGGATGTTTAAGAGGTTCTAAAGTATCTGGGAATATGACTAGGTCTTGTTGAAAATCTCTTCGGATAATAGCCCTAGGTGAGGATTGGTGGAAAAATTTAGGATAAGATTAGCGAGTAAAAACACTTATAGTCGATGAAGAATTGTTCCTAAAATAATTATGGAGTTTTTCATAATTGTTCAACTTAAGCACTGTTCAAATGGCCAATATAATAATATCGGGTTTCATTTGTGCAAGTTGCACTGTGTCTCACAACTTATATGTGTGTGTGTGTGCTCACGTGCGTGCCCGCGCGTTTGTGTGAAGCATATATATGAAAGTAAAATAAATTTGTTTGAAGCTAAGACAACAAATTTTCTTTGCTAATATAATATTAAAATTCTAGCTTATAAAAAGGGTAAATTATATGCTTCCGTAATACATAGAACATGTTTCACATTGCCTCCCTAAGAAGGTCGCAGTGGCGAGTTGTTGTCCCAAAAGAAGCCTTCACTTGTGTCTTCTACTTGAATATGGGGAAATTAACCTATTGGGCTTGGTTGGTCCACATCAATTAGGTTTATCATTGACATTTAGGTCCAATTTTGACCAATATAATCTTTCAAAGACACAAGCTCATTTTGTAATGAATTCATCAAAAGGTTGATGGGATCAACCTAAGTTTAAGCACTACTTTAATCTACTTCATTTTCTTATAAGAAAATTCATGAGACAAGAAATGCTAAATTTTAATCAAAATAAATCTTATGAGTATTAGATAAGATTTATTTTGAGAAGAATATAATTAACAAAAATCAATTAAAATATTTATTATATTTATTTCAAATTAAATATGATAATTTAGAGATTTATGATCCATTTGAGATGACTGTAACTTTTTGATAAAGGAGGTTATAAAATTATTGTGGATAAAATAACTTTTTTTTTTTAAGATACAGTAGAAAGTAGCTTCCTATATTACATAAAATTTTTAAAAGCAATGAAAAATATTGGCCAAATTGAAAATATACTTAAAATCAGAAAAATAAAATAATAAGAAAGATATTCTAAATAAAATCTCATTCTAATAAAATTTTTTATTAGGATAATCTTAGGCTTCATTCGAAACTATTTTCTAAAATAGTTGTTTAATATAAAAATTTTTAGCTCAAAAAATTGTATACTAAAAAATATTATAGAAAATAATAAAAAATTATATTAAATAAAATCTTAGTAAAAACTTTTTGGCTTTCCTATTTATCCATGTCATCTCATCATCATCACCACCAAAATCGCGTATGAGCCCAAGTCGTCAGTAGAATTATTATTCGTGAGCTTTCAAGGAATAAGCCGACGCCTACTACTCAAGATGTTGGCGCATCGTCAACGCTGAGGTTAGGCTTAGAGAGTTGTTAAAGCCATAAATCCCGGGCCCCACTTTTACATCTTGCAACGCGGAATCAACGAGGTTAGAGAGTTGTAGGCAGCTCACTATGATCTTTTTAGCAGCTTTCAATATCAATTATGAGGTTTTAAATTCAATCAAAAATTTATCTTGATCAAAACACAAATCTCGAGGTAAAATTGAATTACAAAATTTCAAAATTAAATTTGGAACCATTTGAATTCCGATATCAGCAAACTTATAGTAGAACTAAACGTCTTGAAAAGTCGAACCCAAAGACACCAAATTCGACTCAATCCGAGCCCAAATGGGTCCAAATAGAAGATCTAAAGCGCCTTTAGAAGGTTAAAATCATAATTTGGATTGCCAAACGAACTTCAAACGTGACATGCTTATAGTCGGATCGAGCGACTTGAAACGAGCTTAAGATCTTTGAGTTTTGATATCATTAAAATATTTAAATGGCCAGTAAATGGTTCACGATCAAGGGGATCAATATCAGTCGTCTATTCAACAACTCCCAACATACACTTGATCTCTCTCATATTTACTAGCCATGTCACTCTTTAAAAATTATAAATAGACCCCTCATTCATCATGGAAGGGGACATAAGCAAGGAAGAGAAGAAGGAGATAGAAACTACAATCTATTGCCACCAGACTCCTCCTCGACCACGGTCAGACCACCGACTATCATCGAACTATTGCTGGGCTTCTGCCCGACCACCAACTAACGCCATACTTCTGCCCGGCCATCGACAGACGCTATACTTCCACCCGACCACCAACTATGATTTTTCTTACATCCGTCACTGGAAAACAGTCTTTCTGATCTCCATCGCCCACTAACTACTATCCTTTCGGCCTTCGTGGCCAAACAACGTTCTTTATGATCACTATCGTCTACAGACTATGATCTTTCCAACCTCTATCGCTAGACTATATTCCTTCCAACCTATGTTATCATACTACAGTCTTTCCAACCTCTGTTGCTGGACAAAGGTCTTTCTGACCACTTTCGCCTGCTAACTAAGGTCCTTCTGACCTCCGTCGTCAGACAATGGTCTTTCTGATCACTGTCGCTTGCCTGACTATGATCCTTCCGACCTCCATCGTTGGCTGACTACGGTCCTTCCGACCTCCGTCACTATACTATGATCTTTTCGACCTCTGTCGCCAATTGAGTACAATCTTTCCTACCTTCATCGCTAGATAACAGTCTTTCTGACCTTCAATCCATTGACGACTATCCTTCCGACCTCAATCCATTGACGACTATCCTTTCGACCTCCGTCGTCTGCCAACTGCAGTCCTTAAGACCACAATTCCGACCCCCATCGCCCGTCGACTATGGTTCTGCCGACTAAACAAGTATGTCAATACTAATTGTTCCAATTCCCACCATGTAATGCACTCTATATGATGTATATTTGCTACATCAAGTCAATGGCTTCCCCCATCGAATGATCTCATTTGTAATTGACTGCAAACACTAGTGGGTTCATTCAAATTGGGGAAGACTCGTGTTTTTCCCCCTTTTTTTACGGGTTTCCACTTAAAATTTTTGATGTCGCTTATGAATGTTGCACCCTCTCTTTTTATGTGATTGTGTGCTAGATTTTCATGTAAAACTAAGACGTTAAACTTTATATTTCTCTATAGTTGCGAAAATGCCATGCCGCAATAATAATATATGTATACATTTATTTTAATTGATTTAAATATTAAAAAAATCAACCACGAAATCAGTTGCTGAAATGATGGAGCACCTTTCAAAAACCTGTTGGAATGGCTAAGTCTTTGTGTTTCAGATCTGATGTATAAAATTTGTGATTAAGGTTTTATTTGGGATGATATTTTTATTGTTTATTAAAGTAGTTTTTTATATAAAAATTTTAATTTTTTTGTTAAAAAATTATTTTAAAAATCAGTAATAAAAACTGTAAAAAAAACCTAAATTTTAATTTTTTTGCTAAAAATTTATTTTAAAAACCACTAATAAAAACTTTAAAAAAAACCTAAACTTTATTTAAATTTATAAATTTCACCGAGTAACAGTAAGAGATCCCAAAAAAAAAAAAAAAAAGTTCGGTCATTAATTCCTTCCCTTTCACCACGCGTTGTAAGCCGGTGAACAGCATAGAAGCCGGCCGATGTACCCAAAGCAGCGCCTGAGCGGCCGGAATGCGTCCGACAACGCAAGAAGAAATCTGCTATGAGGCTGCTGGCTTCGAATGGACGATGGAGTCATCTGGAGATAGGCGTAGGCTGCCTGCTTCACGAGCGGGTTCCGAATCTGGATCTCGAAACCTGCCGCCGTTGGTGACGTGAAAGGGCTCGGCGGGGAGGAAACGATTAGCTCCCTAAGGCTCGTGTACACGTTGGTGCCGAGGGCGTTGGCGGCGGCGGCGGAGGAGGGAGAGTGCGCTGCGGGGAGGCGACGAGGGAAAGGGGGCGATAGCCAGCGGCGAAGCTCAAACTCTGATCCGTTGGAAGCGGTGGGGAGGAACATGCGGAGGATTGACATTGCTGATCCAGGAACGGAAGATCTTCTTGAATTTGCTGAATTGAACGTCACCAGAATTGGAATCGGAGAGAAATTAGGGTAGATGCAGAAGAGATGAGGGGAAAGACAGCGGAGATGGAAACCGGAAGGTCTGGCATCTCTCTCTATCTCTCTCTCTCTTTCATTTGACCTCACGAAATAAGGGTCAATATATATAATTTTTTTAATTAGCACGTTTTGCCGACCTTATGTAACATTATTTTCCTTTAATGCAATGGAGGACTCCCAAATTGATAAAAGATAACAAAAATGCATCTATAATAAGGTAGAGAAAGGTGCGCACAGTATGAATAAGATAGGAAAGTATGTGCATAGGGTGAGTCCCATCTCATTTTCTTTTTATTGAAAAATATTTATGTTCTAATATTTAAAAAAACAAGTCCCATACCTAATTAGAATTTTGGTTATAATTGTAGGAAATGTCATTCTCATTATAAATAAACTTACATATTTTATATGACAAGAATCTATAGTGAAGATTAGAGAAGGATAAGAGGCTTGAAGAATTACTAAATTCTACTTCATCATTGGTGGACCTCCATCATCAAACCTCCATTGTTGAGCCACATCGATCGGAACCAACATCATCAAACCATCGCTACAGGACCATTGTGTGGACCGTTGCCACATAACCTCTACATTAGACCTGTTGCGTCCTGGAGTATTCGCGGCGGTAGAGAAATATTTAGTTTAACATCTTAGCATTGTACGAAAATCCAGCACACAATCAGAAAAGTGAGAGGGTGTAACATTCATAAGAGGCACCAGAGTTTTTACATGGAAAACCCCTAAAAAGGGGGAAAAACCACGGGGTCTGGCCCAGTTGGAATGAATCCACTAGTATTTGCAGTCGATTGCAAATGAGGCCCTTCATTGGGAGAAGGCCTTGGATTGATGTAGCAAATGTACTTCATATAGATTGCATTACATGGTGGGAGTTACATATACATGTTTGTTTGGTCGGAAGGACCGTAGGCGGTAGGAGACCGGGGTCAGAAAGATCGTTGTCTGTTGATGAAGGTCGGAAGGACCATAGTAAGCGACGGAGGTCGAAAGGACCGTAATTGACAGGAGACCGGGGTCAGAAAGACCGTTGTCTGTTGATGGAGGTCGGAAGGACCATAGTAGGCGACAAAGGTCGAAAGGATCATAGTCGACAGGAGACCTGGGTCAGAAAGATCGTTGTCAGTTGATGGAGGTTAGAAGGGCCATAGTAGGCGACGAAGGTCGGAAGGACCATAGTCGACAGGAGACTGGGGTCTGAAAGACCATTGTCTGTTGATAGAGGTCGAAAGGACCATAGTAGGCGACGAAGGTCAGAAAGATCGTAGTCGGCAGGAGACTGGGGTCTGAAAGACCGTTTTTTGTTGATGGAGGTTGAAAGGATCATAGTAGGCGACAGAGGTCAAAAGGATCGTAGTCGGTAGAAGACTGTGTCTGAAAGACCGTTGTCTATTGATGGAGGTCGAAAGGATCATAGTAGGCGATGGAGGTCGAAAGGACCATAGTCGGCAGTATTCTGGGAGAACTCTAGGCATCAGGTGGTATCCTGGTGGAGCTCAAGGCCTCAAGTAGTGGTCTGGCGGAAGTCTGGGCCTCATGTGATGTTCTGGTGGAGCACACGGCCTTTGATGATGATCTGACGAAGGCAAGGGCCTCTGGCGAAGGTGAGGGCCTCAGGTGAAGGTGAGGGCCTTTGGCGAAGGTGAGGGCCTCAGGTGAAGGTGAGGGCCTTTGGCGAAGGTGAAGGCCTCTGACGAAGGTGATGGCCTCTGGTGAAGGTGAGGGCCTCTAGCGAAGGTGAGGGCCTTAGGTGAAGGTGAGGGCCTCAGGTGGTGGTGCGGCGAAACTCCGGTGGTGCGGCGAAGCTCCGGCGGTGGTCCGGCGAGATTTCGGCGGTGGACCGACGAGGTTCCGGCGGTGGTCGAGGAGGAGCTTCTTCCTTCTCTTCTTGCTTGGCCCCCCTCTTATGAAGAATAAGGGCTCTATTTATAGTTTTCTGGAGTGACATAGCTCGTAAATAGGCATGAGATCAGGGGCGAATAGGGAGTGGTCGAATGGACGGCCGATATTGAATCCTACGAATGTGCACCGTTCATCAGACATTTGAAGACCTTAGTGATGTCGGAATTTGGCGATCTTGGCCTCGTTGGATTTGTCTCGTTTGCTTGGCCCCCCTCTTATGAAGAATAAGGGCTCTATTTATAGTTTTATAGAGTGGCATAGCTCGTAAATAGGCATGAGATCAGGGACGAATAGGGAGTGGTCGAATGGACGGCCGATATTGAATCCTACGAATGTGCACCGTTCATCAGACATTTGAAGACCTTAGTGATGTCGGAATTTGGCGATCTTGGCCTCGTTGGATTTGTCTCGTCGAGACGTTCGATTAGAGTATAAGCTCGTTAAAATCGGAGATCGTTTGGTAATTCAAACTGTGCTACGAGCTTTCCAACAGCACTTCGGTTGCTTTATTTGGGCTCATTTGGGCTTAGATTGAGTTGAATTTGGTGTCGTTGGGTTTGTATTTTCGAGACGCTCAGTTTGACTATAAGTTTACTGAAATCGAATTCAGATCATCCCGAATTTAATTTTTGAAGTTTCTGGGTTGGGTTTTGCCTCGAGATTCGTGCTCGATCAAGATAATTTCATGATGACATATCAGTTGCCCCCCTATTTTCAGACGTCGAAGTTCAAGGAATCCGAAAATATATGCGTCGACAATTTGCATTGGTCGAAATGCAAAAAAATGCATTCTGAAAATCAAGTATTTTTTGAAAATTGATTGTAGAGGCCCCGTTGAGCTCCGAAAGTGTCGAAATCGAGTCCGGAACTTCAAAATGTGTCCGGGGACCCCAAAAACGTCCGAATCGGACCGTCCGAGCCAAAAATTGATTTAGATATAAGAAATCTAACAATTGGGAAAAGTATAAAGATGTCCATAAAAAGTCTAAGAAAGCAATATGTGATGCAAATATTTTAGTTTTTAATGATTTATATAATATATTAGAAACTAAATATAAAGCAATATATATTCATAAGTTAGTCAAACAAATATACAAGAGTAGCAAAAATTTAGTTCAAGTGCATTAAGGATGAAAATAAAAAAATATTTTTATTAGAAGAAGATATTAAACAAGGTGGATGAGATATTTTGCTAAGCTATTCAATAAAGATTGTGAGAATACGACTGACTTTAGTGACCTTAGCACTCATAAAAATAGAGAATTTTGTTTTTATCGACGTATTAATAAAAATGAAGCTAGATAGGCTTTAAAGAAAATAAAGTGTGAAAAATTCTGTTGGGCATGATGATATTCTAATAGAGGTGTGAAAAGGCTTAGGAGATGAAGGAATTTTTTGGCTTACTAAACTTTTTAATATTAGTTTGAAGCTAAAAATATGTTAAATGAGTGGAGAATGAGTTAATTGATTTCTATTTTTAAGAATAAAGGCGATGCACAATATTGTGTGAATTATAGAGGAATTAAGTTAATGTGTCATACTATAAAACTTTTGGAGACACTACTGAAAAATCGCCTATTATCGGCGAATTTTATGGTGGATTTCCAACGGACAGATTTTCGACGATTTTTGCGATGTAATGTTGGCAGATTATGACGAAATATTTCCGACCTATTTTTTGGTTCGTGCGAATTTTGATAATTTTTGAAAAAAAAATATAACATGATACCATATTTTGCAGCATAGCAGGGTTGTAGAGTCTTTGAAATTCCTTCAATAGGTCATGAGTTCAAATCATAGGGTCACGCTTGTGCAAGTGTAGGTCACGAGCGGGCTAGTGAGGGTCGCCCTGCGGTCTGCTGCAAGCGCGGGTTACGGGCGGGTTGGTGCGGGCTAGGGGGTAGCGCGCGGTATGGGTGCGAGTTGCGGATTATGGGCTGCGAGGTCGGTGCAGGCAGCAATTGCGGGCAGGTTGGGTGGGGCAGCGAGCTTAGGCTTATTATTATTATTTTTTAATTATTCCAGCAGAATTTCTCTACTGGGCAGCCGCCGGTAAATTTTCAGCTGCCAAATTTCGGCGAAAAACTTTTTCTATGAATTTTTTTCTCTGTTAAATTTTTTTGACACTCGTTTTACCGGTGAGAATAGTTCCGTCAGAAATCCGTCGAAAAATGAAGAATTTTTCGCCGAAAAACATGTCGGTAATAATTTTTCTATAGTGAGAGAGTTATGGAGCATAGATTATGTTGTGATACTAATGTTTCTCAAAGTCAGACTACTAACTGACGCCACAACTTCCAAGTGACATCATATTTTATATTAGACTTCAACCATACGGTTGACATTTGTAATCTGATCGCCCTCTGGGACGAGTCAGCCCATTGTAATCAACTCAAATTCTAGTGAAATCTTTTCAACTGGGCTAGGCCCCGTGGTTTTTCCTCATTTCAGGGTTTTCCACGTAAAAAATTTTGTGTTCTCTATATGTGAGATGGATATCCGCGCAACGCTACGACATAAAATTATAACTCTATCGCCGTGTATATTCTAGCCTGCAACAAAAGTAATTAATAAAAATACACATTTTAGATATCTTTGGTCTATTGTCCGGAGTGAGGTGAAATAGATGTGGGGATTATTAGTAGAATTCAAGTTGGATGTTTGAAGTGGAGGAATTCATCGGGCTTATTGTGTGATAGAAAAGTACCCCTCAAATATAAGGGAAAATTCTATAAGATGGATGAGACCTGCAATGTTTTATGGCACATAATGTTAGCCATTAAAAGAGAAACATAATATTAAGTGTTGCAAAAATGAGGATGCTTAGGTGGATGAGTGACTTTACTCTTAAAGATAGGATACAAAGCAAGCATATACACGAAAAGGTAGTGGTAGCTCTAGCGGCAGATAAGATTAGAGAAAGTCGCTTTAGATGGTTTGGTAACATAAAATGATAGCTTTAGATGGTTTGGTAGCATATTTGACTCTTAACATAGCACAATGTTGAAAAAAGATTTATGTAGTTGACCCCACATAGTGGGATAAAGTCTTGATGTGTTGTTGTTGAAACAAATCTTAAAAAAGATTAAAAAAATCATAAAATCTATTATGATAAAAATTTTTATCAGTAATCAGATATGTATATACATATTCATTTTTCTTCTTGCACTCAAAAGTCAGGCAACTTGTTCTCATAAAACTTCACTTAGACTAATTATTTGCCACTTAAGCATGAGTTGGTCCAGGCTAAGTGAAAGTAGGTTAGATGCATCACTTTTATACATATATTATTCAAGGTCAGTTTGTGACACTTTTTTTATAGTTTTATTTTATTTTTATAAATATCATAAATCTGTTTACCTGCAGTGTTTATTTAAAAGGAAACATTGGACAAACAACTATCAATTAGTGTAATAACAATGAGAAGGGTGTAAAGGGAGGATTCCTCTGAACTTGTGGAACAGGAGCAGGTTGTCCTATTCGTTGAAAGGAACTTTTATTTGGTCCGGTGAACGTCCGCTCCTCTACGTTCGGCTACCAACGTTTTAGCGCCACGTAGCATGAAGAAAAGTCGCTGACCCAACCCGCTGTTTTTTGGGTTCGAGCACATGCGTTTTTTTAATTCCTTGACAAGCCGAACAACATCCCATCACCTTTTGGATATATTTCAAATATCTAGCAAATACCGAGTTGTACCTAGTTTTTTCTAGCAATACCGAGCAAATACCTAGCAATACCGAGCAAATCCCTAGCAATACCGAGCAAATCCTGAGCAAATACCGAGTTGTACCGAGTTTTTCTAAAACTCGGTACAACTCGGTATTTGTATAGTTTTGGTCTTCACAGAGCGGTACTTCTCATTTTTTTTCAAAGCAATACCGAGAAAATCGCGAATATAGCATTCCCGGGTTCCGCTCAGTGTCAAGTCGTTGGGCCGCGCGGTAAAGAGTAAGAGCACGTGGCGACATGTTATTGGCGGCCGAACTTACCTCTACGTCAGGTCAGAGGACGTAATAATTGGCTCGTTGAAAGGGGTGTAAAGGGAAGTCGGTATCAGCCTTAATTTTTTTATTTTTAGCATTTTTTATTGATACTGCTTCTCTTCCTTTTCAGAAGGCAGCCTGAGAGTGATTAGTGTTTTTTTTTAGTGTTTCAGCGTTTATATTGTCTCCTGCTGTAGAGAAACTATTATCTGCGGAGATCGGAAATAACAATAATCAAATTTATGATTTATATAATTTAGAACAAAGAGAAACTAATGAACTAAAGGGCTGTTTGGTTGCCTAAAATAGAAATGCAATGTAAAAAAAAATGCAGTGTAAAAGAAATACTTTAGAGTTGTTTGGATGAGTGTAAAAAGGAATGTGTGACTTTACTTTTTTTTTTGTTTAATTTGAAGTAAAGTGAATGTAATGTAAAGTGTAAAAAAATTGTGCCGGGCCAGTAGCCAGCATTGGAGGGTGGTGATGGGTGGCCAGCGACAAAGTTGGGTGACATCGGTGGCGACCATAGCCGCAACATCGGGCGACTCCCAGCAGCATCAGCAATGGTCGGCGGTGGACGGTGGTGGGTGACAATCAATAGTAGGATGACATTGGAGATGGTGGTCGTCAGCGGTGCTTAATCTTTAGAGCGGTGTGAACAACTCTCCTTCAAAACTGGGAGAGAATATTTATCTAAAAAGTAAAGTGGAATAGAATACATTATACTAAAGTTCTAAAAAATATTGCATTTACTTTACATTGATTTTACTTCCAACCAAACAACCCCTAAAATAATATGTAATAGACCATAAGATCTTAGGTTGAAAACCCCTTAAGTTAAAAGAACAAACGATCCATTGCAACCCATTATGTATATGAAACTCATAATGACGTAGGAAAGTTGCAATTCCCATCAATCTGGTCCAACGGGATAAATATCAATCAGTATTAAGATTTTGTACATGTACAATTCTATCCACTAAAGAAATACCAGGAAATCAAGTAGCAAACATCAAAGGAATACAATTTTTAGAAAGCCAAGAAAAGTTAGTCTGCAAAATATTCAAACATGAAATGAAGACAAAGCTCAAGCAAAACACAGGCATAGCATAATCATAAATCACAGCCCCCCTTCGGAGATGAAAGTCAAGTCAGTTACAAATCGAATGGTTTACTAATCGAACATCAAATGTTTACCTCCATGCTTCTACACGCTCTGATTTGGAGTTTATGCGGCTAACAATGGTGGTTGCTTTTGACTTCTCTGCCTGTGCGCTTGATTTACTTGTTGATTGTCTGCTAAGCTTCCGAGTTCTCTTCTGCTTTGAATTGCTTGCTTGTCCAGTCCTGGTTCTACGAGAATTTGCATGGACTTTAGTGAGAATCTCAGCGGCAGTTTCTAAATCGGTGGTGGAAGCTTCAGTGATCCCTTTCACCGCCAACTCTTGTAATGCTTCTTCATTGCTTTCAACAACTGCATCTTTTGAATAGTTTTCTTCAGGAAGGAGAATAGGATCATCCAGAATTGGATCCTCTGTAATAAAAGCTTGATCTGTTTTCTCTTCATATTGAACTCCCAATTGAAGTACATGACTTTGATCACCATTTTCATCATGAGGATCTGGATGGGGAGTTTTAGAGTCCTCCAGTACAGAACCTTGCCTTTCTTTAAGTGTTTTAAGTATCAACATCTTTAGAAAATTCATCACTTGCACTGCATACATCAGTGCAGTCAATGGATCTGCCATCTGAATTCACCATGAAAATGAAAGCAAAATCAAACAGTTGAAGTTTATCAAAACATCACTGCTGTGGATTATTGGAGAGAAGTTTGCTGACATGGTACCCCAAATAATTAAGGCTTCGCTTGGGATGACTTTTGATACGGCATCACAAAATTAGCTTGATTGAGCACGAATCTCAAGGCAAAATCAGTTCGGAAACTTCAAAATTTAAATTCGAAAGCATACGAACTCCGATTTTGGCGAGCTTACAGTCAAACTGAGCGTCTCGGATATACGAATCCAACGACACTAAATTCGACCCAATCCGAGCCCAAATGGGTCCGAATCAAGGACCCGAAGCGCTGTTGGAAGATTCAAACCGCAATTTGAGTTACCAAATGGTCTCCGATTTTGACGAGCTTATACTCGAATCGAACGGCTCGACGAGAAGAATCCAACGAGCCCAAGATCGCCGAATTCCGAGATCATTAAGGCCTTCAAATTCCCAACGAACGGTGTATGATCAAAGGATTCAATATCGGCCATCCATTCAAAACACTCCCAATTCGCCCCTGATCTCACGCCTATTTACGGGATATGCCACTCCAGAAAAACTATAAATAGAGCCCTCATTCTACACCAAAGGGACTCAAGTGAAGAGAGAGAAGAAGAAGAGAAGAAGGAGGAGAAGGAAGAAGCTCCTCCTCGACCACCGCCGGAGCTCTTCCTGCCGCATGAAGGCGCCGGAACTCTGCCGGATATTCGGGAGAACGCCAGAATTCTGCCCAACTTCCATGGGATGCTGAAATTCTTCCTAATTTACAAGAGAGTTCCCTCCTGACGCCGAAACTCCGCCCAAGTGAAGCCGGAGTTCTCCTCTGCCACCAAAGACGTCGGATTTCTACCCGACGTCGGACCTTCACTCTTCGCCAAGTTTCTACCCGACGCCGGACTTTTACCGGTTATCGGACTTCGCTGGACGCCTATGCGAAGATGCATTTCTTTCCATTGTTGGACTTCTACCTGACGCTGTCCTTCTGATCTTCATCGTCAGACTACAGTCCTTCCGACCTCCGTCGTCAGCCGACTACGGTCCTCCTGACTTACGTCGCCCGCCGACTACAGTCCTCCGTCGCCAGCTAACTACGGTCCTTCTGACCTACGTCGCCCGCCGACTGTAGTCCTTCCAACAAAATGAATACGTCGATAGTAGCTCTTTGTATTTACATCATGTAATGTACTCCATAAGATGAACATCAAGCTAAGGCCTTCTCCCAAGGAAGGGCCTCATTTGTAATCGACTGCAAATACCAGTGAATTCGTTCAAACTGGGCTAGGCCCCGTGGTTTTTCCCCTTTTACAGGGGTTTTCCACGTAAAAATCTTGGTGTCTCAGAAATTCTAGACCCTCTCTCCTTATCTGATTGCGTGCTGGATTTTCGTACAATGCTAAGACGTTAAATATGATATTTCTCTACCGCCGCGAATACTCCTGGACGCAACAACTTTCTTTCTGCTTCTTAAAACAGCTTTTCAGTAAAAAAAATTTAATTTTTTACTAAAAATCTACTTTATGAAGCAGTATGACAGCCATACCAAACGAAGCCTAAGATGAAGCTAATGATTATAATGATGAAGTTGTTTCATTACCTGGGTCATGTTCGGAGCGAAGACCAATGCAACATTACGGGCATTCATTTTATTTTCATGTTCTTCCTGAACCACATCAGTCATCAAATTGATGGCCCAGTTGAGGAGCGAAGCCTCTGTAGGAGGCAGACCTTTTGCAAGTTGTCCACAATCTTCTTCTGTTTGGCATTGCATTACCTGCTCAGGTGAAAGAGGGTCGAGCACACCAGATGGAAGTTCTCTAAACCAGGCCTATAGAAAGCATCATGAAAGAAACTCATAACATCATATTAAAATTAAGAGAAAAAATATAAGAGAAACTTCAATTACATTCCTTATTCTAAACTACAATACACATCACATAAATGCAAAAACATAATCACTTGCAAGTATATGAAATTCATATTTAAATATATATGATTAAATAGAATCACTTGCAATAATCATTATTATATATATTGAAATTCATATTCATTTGTTGAAAGTTCTAAAGTGGCAAAGATATTGTAAGAGCTTGTCATAAATGCATTGCAAGATATAACAATACAACTTAGATTATTTAAAATAATGATTCAAAAATCTGTACAACAACAATTATTGTCTCTTGCAATATGTATTGTAAGAGCTTATCATAAATGAAATAAACTAATGGCTGTATCTAGAAGAAATTACATTGCACATGTATGAAATTCTCAAAGGTACTTAAGCTAGTGAATTACTACTTAGTTCAGAGATATGTATATGTACGATGATTTGGTGAATTCGAAACTATCGCTCATGCATATGGATGTAATAATCAACATAGAAAATCAGTTCTACATGAATTTGACTTTACTAGAGCACCATATAAAGAGTAATTTCAGCTATTTCATCTTTCCTTAACTTGACCAAATCTCATAATTAAATGCACTTATTAAAAAAAATGAAATAGAAAAGAAACATACCTCATGGTAAGAAGTCCATTATTTCTCAAAGCATTGCATAATAACTTGTAGTTTTTTTATTTTTATTTTTATTTTAAGAAGCTCATATTTACAAATGATTAATTACTTCATAAGAAAATAAGTTAGTCATTGATTGAACAACATTCACAAGAGCACTCTTTGTCTCCATTAGCATCCAACATGTTCCACATAAATAAAACACTGAATATAGGAATAAATAACCGTAATAAACTTTCATCAAGTGTCAAATGAGTATCACAAGACCAAATAAAAGGAAAATAAAAGAACTCTATTTGTTTAGCATAGAAATGCAGGCATGTCGTTGATTAATAAAGCTGAACTATTGGTTTGAGAAGTCGGAATAGTGAATAACTGTCTTGTGTCATTAAAACAGTTAGCTATCAGGGGGAGTGTGCATAACTTAAAGATTTACTGAGTTTCTCAAATGATATTCACTTGTTTAAATCTAGAGAGAGCGGTTAGAGCCAAGTATATAACTAAAACCAAACTTAAGAATTGAGAAGTAAATAACTAAAATTATGCCAGGACATTGATTTACATTGTAAATGGAAGGTAGTGTGAATTTGATATGATGGGGAGAAGGTCGGGTAGGCTCACGCAAGCGGTAGGTCTTCGAGTTACTCACGCGAGTAGATGACATCCGGGCGGGCGGCTTCATACGGGCTAGGGGTGTCAATATTTGACCCGACCCGGATCCGACCCAAAAAAATTCTGGGTTTGAGTCAACCCGCTTGTCAGAAGGGTCCGGTTCAGGTTAAAAAATGTGACATGTTTCCAAATCGGGTCAGGTTCGGGTTGACCCGACAACCCGAAATCAACTCAAAGTTGACCCGGGTTTGAGTCCGCTAACCTGCCTTCCATGCCACATCCGCACGTCACGCGCTAGGGGGAGTCAGTCTCGCGCAATCCATTGTCTGCCCAGCCGCCTAGCCCTCACTTGTGGCCCGCATCAACCTGTCTACCTTCACCACTCGTGCATGTGACGAGCCGCCTGCAGCCTCACGCCCTCAACCTAGCCCATGTCCCGACATTCGCACGTCACAGGTCTCCATGTCGCACCACCTTGGCCTGGCCGCCCGCAGTGTTGCCTAGCCCGCCTTAAGCCTAGCCCTAGCCTGCCTCGGCTTGGCCGCCCACTGCCTCTCTTAATGTGCCCAGTAGTTTACCATAATTCAAAAATAGCAGGTTGGCGGGTCATGTTGGGTCAACCCGATAACCCATACGGGACAGGTCCGAGTTGAAAATTCTGACCAGTTTGCAAAACCGGTCGTGTTAGGGTCAACCTGTTTAACCCGGGTCAATCCGAGTTCGACCCGAACCCGAACCCGCCCACTGGCAAGTAGGTGTGGACGGACTGGGAGGTTGCCGCATACTGGTTGGTTCATGCTGGCAGGCGGGAAGGACCGCGTGCAAGGAGCATGGGGCGCACGCATGCTAGAGCAGATAAATCGCACTACATGAAAATCGCCCATTACCGACAGAATTTCCGGCGAATTTTTCGGCGGCTTTCCGACGGATAAAGATGAAATATTTCCAATAGATTTTTAGAAAGATTTTCCGGCGGATTTCCTACGGATTTGTTTCCGTTGGATTTTCCGATGGATTTTCCGACGGATTTTAATAATTTTTTAAAAAGATTATATATTCGTAATTTTATTAATTAATAATTTTATATCCTATTTTAATTCATTATTAATTTAATAACTTTAATATTAATTTAAATAATTAAAATTTAGTTGTTAAAGTAATAATTAATTTAATTATTTATAAATATTTTTAATTGCTTCAAGTTGGATGGTTGAAGTGGAGGAGGGGTAGGTTGGCAGGAGCAGTGGGTTTGGGCTGGCTGGCGGGAGGCACAGGTACGGACTAGCGTGAGCGGGTATGAACTGGCGGGAGTGAGAGGAGGGTTCAGGCTGGTTGGAGGGATTTCTTCACGGGTTTGGGGTTCAATTTTTTTAATTTTTTTTTTATTCCGGAGGAATTCTTTCACCGGACAGCCGCCGGACAATTTTCCGACGGCCAATTTCCGCCGGAAAAATTTTCCGGCAATTTTTTTTCTCCGGAACTATCTTTCCGACGCGCATGTAACCAGCGGAAACATTTTCGCCGGAAATCCACCGAAAAACCATTAAATCCGCCGGAAAATGATGATTTTCCACTGGAAAAATCCGCCAGTAATACGTGATTTTCCTGTAGTGTCGGAGGCTCACATGGGAGGGTTAGTCTTCACGTGAGCAAGAACTCATGTTGATGGCGTTGCTCGGGCTTAATGTGTGGGGGCAAGTACGGAGACTTCGTACGTGCAATAGCAAGAGGGTGCACAGGGACGAAGAGATGAGCGGGATGAAACTCCACGGAAGATGAAAAAAACTCTCTTTTCCTTATTCAAAGTGAAGCAATCGTTCAGTTCCTCCAACCAGATGTTGCCTAAACAATCGCGCCTCTTGCTTGACCAAGTGGAGTGCATGCAACCAATCAGCTGCCCAAAATAGATACTAATATTTTAAGAGGGAAGAAAGACCATCATGCCGTCTAATCAAATCCAAGGGCTGATGTTTAATTGATTAAATTTAAGAGATATGCAGGGATGATTTAATATTAGATGGCTCAAATAAATAAATTGAACATGGGTCATTGAGATGGACAATCATCCTGCGGTTAAAATATCTTAAGCACATAGATTGAGTGATGAGAGACTGACATGGGTCCCACTCATTACGAAATTTCAATACCCCCCTCAAGCTAGGAATATATGTCAATCATTCATAGCTTGTAAGTTAGGTTATCGAATTGTGATTAATCAAAGTAAGCTGGTCAGAATATCTTCTTTAGAAGTCTTGTAAAAGTGTATTGTATTTTAATGACCTCTCGATCCATTTTTACTTTTTTAAAATATCTATTAATTTCAACATACTTGTTTGTCATGGTAAATTGGATCTTTGGCAAGGCGAATTGTAACTTGATTGTCACACATTAACACCATTTATTCTTTAATGTGGATGTCAATAATCTTTTAAGCAACATCCCTTCACAAATTCAAGCGTAAAGGCCTTGAATTCAGCTTCAATGCTAATTATATAAACCACTGTTAATTTTTAACTGATCAAGGTGACTAGATTTCCTCACATGAACAAATAATAGCAATAGTTATATTTATGATCAATTATAGACTTAGCTCAATTAGCATTAGTAAAAAAATTTGTACTCCTATATGATTCCTTTTTAAAAAATAGAACTTTCCAAAGAGTCCTTCTAGGTACCTCAGTATGCTGTTGGCTGAATCAAAATATTCTTTAGCTGGAATATTCAAAAAATCAGCTTACCACATTGATAGGGTAACATGTGCCACGATGATTACGGGAGAGAAAAGTTTTCCAACCAAATGCTACTATCTTTCTATCACCTGGAGAGTGTCACCATTTAATTATATTTTATTAATAGAATCCATAGGATCAATTGCAGGTCTACATCCCATTATTTATTTTTTTTAAATCAAGTGTATATTTTTGTTGAGAGGCAAATATATATTTCTTTGACCTTGCAATTTCTATATCCCAAAAACATTTTAGTTCTCCTAGATGTTTAATTTCAAATTTATTTGCTAAAATTTCTTTTAGTATATGAATTTCTATCTCATCATCATCAATTAGAATAATATCATCCAAGACGACAATCAAGATAGTGATTTGACCACAATATAATTTCTTTTACAAATAAGGTATGAGCAATCTACCCTTGAAAATATTCATATTTTTAATTGTAGTGGTAAATTTTCCAAGACGACAATCAAGATATACAAAATTATGAATTGCCGTGTGCCATTCGTTTCAAATGCTTTCATTTCTTCGTGAGCAATATATCTCAATTTAGAAATTTTTAATATTTTCTAAATATTTTTAGAAATGCTCACAATAGACAGGTTGATCATGAAAACCTTATGATGAGAAGATAGGTTATTGTAAGAGATTTACTTATTGATTGGATATTTTATCTAAGATATCATATTTGCTATTCTTGTACTATTCCTATGAGCAATTAGGATATCAATGCTAGAATTAGTATTACCTTGTGAATGATGATCAAAGCTTTGTTCATATGGGTGGTTGTTAAATGTTCCTGACATCCAATACAAACTATGAACAATTGAGATTAGGGATTTGAACATCAAGGGGCTAGGGAGAGAGGGAGGCTAGAGATTAGTTGGATAGATGAAAAAACTCACATTCCCAAAGAGTGTTGAAATCCTTCCCCTAAAAGTGAGTTTTAGAATAAAAGGGCTGGTTTTCAAAGAATTCTACATCCATTTTTTTTTTTGACAGTAACATTTACACCTTTATTGGTTCAAAGAATAACTAATAAAAATGCACCTAATGGCTTTTGCATTCATGAGGTAGGATATAAATATATGCAAAACACCCAAAAGTTTTAAGAGAAATAGTAGAGATTAGCATGTTTGTGAGTTATATTTCAAGGACTCGGCGAGGGGTTTTTGAATTTGATGCTCCTTGGTAGCATTCGATTAATGAGTTATGTAACTATCAGGACAATCTCTCCCCAACATTGATTCGGAACATTGCTAGTGATACTAACGGCTCTAAGCAACTTAAAAAAATGGCAATTTTTTCTCTTAGCAATCCTATTTTATTAAGGAGCATATAACTTATTGAAGAAAATAATTTCTAAGAATTAAATAAAAATATTCTCTCGTTCTCAATCCTTAAGACTTAGAATTTAATTTGGAATTGGGTTTGAAGATATAGAATAAATTTATCTTTTATTAAGAAGATCCACATATTTCTAGTGTAATAATCCATGAAAGATATGAACCATCTAGCCCCAAAGATATTAGTCACACAAAAGGATCCCCAAATGTCATTATAAGTAATAGAAAAATGTTAAGAAAGTTTATATGTATGGCTCGAATATGTATTTTTGGTATATTTTAAAAGTTTGACAAATTTTACACTAAAGATTAGATGATCAAGATGGAGATGCTATAATATGATCCCATTTTTGTAATACATGATACATGTTGAGGCTACAACACCTTAAATCATTGGGCTCCAAGGCGTACTTGTGCCATGGAGATATACCCACAAAATAGGAGACCAATAACATTAATCTGGCAAAACCCACAAAATAGGAGACCAATAACATTAATCTGGCAAAAAGTACCACAGCGGAGATTCTAAACTATTTTCAACTTGCGCTTCGTTTGGGACAACATTCTTACTGCTTCTTAAAATAACTTTTTAGTACAAAAATTTAAATTTTTGTGCTGTAAAGCAGTTTTAAGAAGCAGTAAAAAAGTTGTCCCAAACGAAGCCTTAATTACTTTAAGCTATACATAGCAAAAAACATACAAGACATATAAGAATCTAGTATAAACAAGTGAATTCAGGGAATTTATCAAGAGATGCGGATAAGAAGTTGTTTTATACCTTGATTAGTCCAGCTAAACAATGCACATCTATCCCAGCTGGCACCACTCCGCTATTTAACTGATCTCTCACATACTCCTCCTGGCTATTCTCTGCATTAATTCTGAATATCCCTTCTGCCTGTTTAATAGTATGGTGATAAATAATATCAATATGAAAAGATGGTTAATTAAGGTTAATACAACGAAGCATACCCTTAAGCCTCCTTGTTCATATAGGCTTCTCTGCATTGACAAGAGTATTGTTGGTACACTATTTCCTCTACAGTCGTAGGAGCATTGCATAGACTCAGTTGAAACTCCAAACACCTTCGCACTGCATTACATAACAATAAAATTAGTAGAAACAATAAAAAATAAAATATTGGTATGCATATATTCAAGAAAATATTTAGAGTTCTTTCCAAGCCTACATTAGGCTACCCATGCTAACTTGCCATTTTCCATTACCCAAACAGTAAAGAAGAATGGCATTTAAAAACAACAAAACTATGGCATTATGCACAAACAATTCCAAAGACTAACTAGCATTATAAAAATGAATCCAGGGATAGCTAAGAATTCATCATGTGTCATTTTAACAAGCAAAACGTGCAACCAATAGCATGACCCCGTGTTGATTTAATGGCACTAGTACTTTTAAATTTTCTATAAATTGATTTAAAGTGCATGTTTGCTATTTTGACCTTAACTGAGTATATTGTGATTTCAATTTGGAGGTAACTTCAAATTTTGGATTTCAATACATAAAAAGTAATACAATGAACAGTTAATTAAGTATATTCTAACTTTTCTTACAACAACAACATCATCAAACATTTATCTCACTGTGGGCTTGGTTATATGAATCATTTTCATCCATTGGATTCTGTTAAGACTTAAATTATCATTTAAATATAATAAAAAAAAGATTATTTCTAATATTTTCTAACCAAATCTTTTTAGGTATACCTCTACATTTTTTAATATAAGCCAAATCCAATACAACTATTTTCCTAACCCAGTCATCAGAAGGCCTCCATTTTATACCTTGCATTATTACTAAAACATATTGTCAATATAATGTATTTCTAGAATATTTTGGTGCCTTAAACACTGGCGCTTCCAGTCATTGCAATGGTAAAGATCAACCATATGTATTATTTAGAGCTATATAAATGTGATTACTAATATCCTTGTTCTTCACCACAATTTCCAGCCACTGTTATGGTAAAGCTCAACAAAACTATCCATATTTCGAACTCTATAAATGTGATTACCTTTATCCATGTTCTTGACCATTAAATATAGGCATATATATGCCATGTAGAAAATTGCTTCAGGCTTGTCATTTTAAGCATTGTCCCTAGAATATGATTTTTTTTTCAAATTAGAACTCCAATCAAAGATTTATGCACAATAACACTAGCAAAAGACAAGCTAAAGCACTATAACCAATAGGCAGGGGCGGAATCAACCTCTCTTTTGAGGATGGACAAAATAGGATTGTGAAATGCATAAATTTATGTATGAAAGAAAAAGAAAAAATTTTCTTAGAATTTGGGTATCTGCATTTATTGAAAATGGGCAACATAGTTAAAATGTTTATTCTCCTAAGAGAATAAAAAATTTTAGAGTGGGCAATTGCCCATCCTGGGCTCTTTCTGATCCACCTCTACCAATAGGCTTCCCAAAATAAGCAAACCATACAATTTGAACAAAACCAAATACAAACTAACATTTAAAAATTCAAGCAAAAGTTTTGTTAAGAAATTGGGAGGAGTACTTGAGCTCTTATTGAGCCTTCTTGCAATAGAGAGGGAGAGAGAGAGAAAGGATGACAGATTTTTGGAGGAGGAAAACTAATCTAAAGCCTTATTCAATTTTTCCTGAATTATACATCAGCCTACAATGCTTATATATAGGCATTTACATTATTGTGGTAACTAACAAGATCAACTTATCCTAAAATAGGACAAACACCTCATAATCTCCACCTTGGTCCACATTTTACAATCAAAGAACCACCTGTGCACCTACATCGATCTAACTGGCTTCCTGCCCTATAATCCTGCCAAACTGAGCCTAATCCCGCCAAACCGAGCCCAATCCCGCTCACAAACGACCTCCACCATTGATGCAGACAAAGCAAGATATTTTATATTTTCTTTATGTTTCCTTACTTCCTTGTTGGCTATATGGATATTTAATCTTTAGGTTGTTTTTTTCTTAATGGGCTTAGCCCATATCTTCCCATGATGTCTAGTTGTAGTGTGTTCCCTAAGCAGTATTTGGATTCCCTTTGCTGGTTGTTGGATTTCAAATGGCTGTTGGAGTTCTCCAGGCAATTTTCGAATTCAATGTTGCTGATTTTTCCATATAGGTTTTGGAAATTCATGTTGTTGTTTCTCCAAGGTAGCTTTGGAATTTCTACTGCTTTTTTCCTGCTGCTAGCCGTCCCCCTTCCCTCTTTTGCTGACTCCTAGCCTATATTTTATCTTCTCAAGATGGCTTTTATTGGCTACTTAGGATGGCATATTTATGTTGGCTGTTGGATCATTTTTCTCCTATAAAAGGAGCTATTTTGGCTGCTAGAAGTGGGGTTTTTGTGAAGAATTTTTGGAACAAAAACTTGCGGGTTTAAATAACTTGCGAGTTATTATCTTCTTTCTCCCTATCTCTTAAAAAAATTCATCTCGGACTTCTACCTACTTCTTCTCTCCATGGTTTCCATTCCACTTGTATGTTTCTTCTCAAATTTTTATAAGTTATGGTGTGTCTTTGTTTTAATAATATTGTTATCTTGTTTATGTTTAGAAATGTTTTAAGGAAGAAAAGTTGTCTTCTAGTTTGCAATCTTAGTATAGTGTTTTTTTGGTTGCACCAACCATGCGTTCCAATCCACGGCTACAACTCACCCTAGAGCACCGACTTGCCAGTCTTCCTTGAATACTAGTGCGTGCTCCAACTTGCAACCTCGCACGAGCCACCCGTCCAATTCTGAGGTTCTTGATCTGTTGTTCCGACACAACAACCAAATGACCCTGTGATGTAATAAAAATACACATATTGCAAACTAAAAATACCTTCCTTCCTTAAAACATTCACAAACATAAAATAATATAACAATATTATTTTAAATTAAAAACACAATTCAATGACACCATACAAATATGACTCAATGACACCTTACAACTTTTCAAAGTTTGAGAAGAATGATAAAGATGGAATGAACACCGTGGAGAGAGAAGTACATAGAAGTCCAAGACGAAGTAGAAGTAGGGTAGAGGAAGATAGCTTGCAAGCTAGATAATTCGTAGGTTATACATTCCAAATATTCATCACCAATCTCTCCATCCATTTCCAGCAGCCAAACTTTCCCTTTTATAGGAGAAAAAAAGACCCAACTGCCCACATAAATGTGCCACAAAGTAGCTAAGAGAAGCCTCTTCTTGAGAAGATAAAACACTAGAATATGAATCAGCAAAAGTGGGAAGGGGAATGACCAGCAGCATGAAATCAAAGCCTAGGAAAATAGACCGAAAATGCAAGGGAAAACAACAGGAATTCCAAGTACAGGAAACCGAAATCTTCTTTGGAAACCAAAAGCCAGTAAAGGAAATCCAAATATTACCTAGGGAACACACTACAACCAGCCATCATGGAAACATGCACTAATTTTGATATGAATCTATTCAAGCCTCTTCAAATACCAAAAATCAAAAGCAAATATACCAAAAAAAGCTAGAACACCATGAATTACGGTGATGTGAAGTTGATGGTAATCGGTCATAAGCTCCAAAATTATGATCTCGGGTGCTAAAGCTTAGAAACAGTACATTACCGCATATGCCAACAATGATAAGTGTGATTGTTTTTACCAAAATAATGCTAACAATTCATGGAATAGTGGTAGTTTATTGCAGGATGATATAAGGTTTTGGTGTGTCCAGAAAAAAAAGCAGATAGCTTTTTTTCTTTCATTTTCAGGAAAGAACCCAAATTTCTATTGAATCTGAAAGCCTGACCAGCAAATAGCATCAATCGAACTAAGATGACAACAATAAGAATGCCGTTTACAGAATACAATACAAGAATATAAATTCGTGGTTCAGTTTTCATTAGTAGAGATGATATGAAAATTACTGTAAAAATAGTCAAAATCATGAAAATTGAGCCTATGCTTGAAAATTACACTTTGATAAAGCAATAACAACCTTTAATGATTGCAACAAAAAGATTTTAGAACGTTATTATTTGAATCTACAAACGATATAAAAAAAAAAAAAAAGAGAAAAAGCCTTCATCCAACTGTCCCAACATTGGACAAGGCTGCCAAAATTTCAAATCCATTTGAGAAACTCCAAACCATCATTCTTTAAGAAATTTAAAACAACTAAAACAGTAAAACCTGATAACTCAGACAACCCAAAACCAAATTCCAGTAGAGAACATAGCATCAAATCCTCTCAAAGAGCAGGAAGTAAGGTAGAACATGAGAGCAAGAAAGACTAAAAACCTAGCACTCGGAGCTCGCCGCGGAACCTCAGGCTCGAACTCCACAGGAAGACCAAGGAAACCATGGAAGCGATCGAAGGTGACATGAGCCACATGCCGCACCTCGGTCGGCCATCCGATCTCCATCCGCCCGGCGTCCTCTTCCCCCTCCGTCCTGCACCTCACTTTCCTAAGAACCGTAAGAATAAGAGCCAAAACCGACAGTTGCTCCACCTCCTCTCTCTCACTCTCCCCTTCTTCTTCTCTTCTTCTTCCTCTGCTTTCCCTTTTACTCACCTCCTCCCTGCCAACCACACCACAAGCTGCAGGAGAGTTGGTTAAAAGCGTTTGAGAGCCATGATTGGATGAGCAAGAAAGCGGGGAACTTGGAGATGAAGGAAGCTGTGGCGGGGATCTTAGCACTGCCGTCATGGCTGTCACTGGAAGGTAGAGGGGCAGGGATATTTTTGTAAGAACCCGCGTGGAAGTGGTCCAAATCAATTACTTTGAGCTAGTTTTTTCAATGCTCGTCTTTCTGGGAGGAATTGGTGCTGGTATTTGCGTTGGATTAAAGCAATGATTTTGATTTTGGGAGGTGGGACGTGGGAATCATTACTCTAGTAGTATTTTATCTTAAAAACTTTCCTTTACTGGCTGGATTTGGAGGCTTAAAGAAGCAAAAGATGTTGGTAAGAAGAAGAGGAGGGGGTGAAGAGGAGGAAGATGAATAAGGGAAGAAAAGGATGTGGATGGTGGTAATATTAGGAGGAGAAAAAGAGGATTTTTAATACTTGAATGAAGGGGTAAAATGGGAATTTGCTTAGGAGCTGGGAACCAATGGCTTGCTGTTGCTATGCGTGAACAGCGCGCTTCCGAAGTACGATGCTTAAATTGTAGAGTGGCTTTTCCTGAAAACTCCTTAATGAGGGGGGTTTTGGGAACATGCAGAGTGATAAGATTAATTATATATTGGTTTTGGTGATATTTCAAACTTGCTGTCAGCATCAATAATATTGGTTTATTCAGATTAGGGTTTTTAAATCCTATAGGTGGTTTCATTCTGAAAAATAAATAAAATATAAAATGAGAAAAAATAAATATAGTGTAAAACTCGATAATGATGATGATTCATGGTGGCGGTTAAGGGGGTGTCAATATTTGACA